GCTAGTGGTTGGGTGGAGGAAAAGATAGAATGAAAAGAAGAAAAAGAGAGAGAGAAATTGATTCCACCACAGAGCACCTACTGCAAACAAGACATTGTAACAATGGCGGCATCCTTCCAGTGCTCCAAACGAGGTAGCCAGGTTGTATGTGCACTTCACCATGCTCTGCACACGGGCAGTGCCAAAGCCTGTGGCTGCCAGCCTGCCCTAAGTTTTCCCAGTTCCTTGCCAGAAATTCCGATCTCACTTCCTGTCTGGCTTCCTGGGACCATACAGGTGTCACCAGCAATCTGTGAGCCCCTTGGAAGACGAGAATCTGCCCTGTGCCGCTGTCTTGCTTTCAGCTCCTAACGCACAGACCTACCCATGGAAAGTGCTCGGTAAGTCTCACTAAACAGATGGCACTGAAGCCACCTTCCTTACATAAAGTATCAGAGGGACAAAGTCGGGAGACTGAGTGTGCACTTGATAGCTGTGTGCCACCAGCCTGCCCAGCAAACCAGACCTCCTGATACATGGAAACGAAGGGGGCGGGGGATAGAGCTCTTTTTCTTTCTTTCTTTCTCAAGGCAGAGGCTGGAGATTGTTATACATCAAGAGACAGTGCATGGAAATACAGTGCAAATACAAACCCAGAGGGAGGGAGCAGGATGTGTCAGGGGTCTGAAAACAGTGGGGTTACCCAGGGGTCTTTCCTAAAGCAAAAAATCATGAACGTGCATTGCAAAGACTCATCAGACCCAGGCCCAGTGGGTCTGTTTAATCAGCAATTTCATCACCTGATTGGCAAAAGCCAATCCACAGGTTTTTCTCTGCCATGTATCCCTTTAGGGTTCCCTTTGGCCTCAAGGGGGACCAAGCCCACATGTGCATTTGCCATCAGGAAATGGAATAAATAAAAGAAACAGAGCAGATACTTACCCCAGCCCTGATGTAAATGGGAACAAACACCCAGCCCAGCACGACCACCATGATCAGGGCCTGAAACCAAAAGGGGAAGAAGACTCAGACCAGGGGGCACAAGTCTCTCTGCTGTCTGAAGGGGCCCTCGGCTGCTGCAGGACAAAACCACCCAGAACTTTCTCGTTCTGACTCTCAGGACAAGCAGCCATGAGAGAGCTCATAGGAAGAGCTGGAGGGGAGCCCGCAGTCCACAAAACATCACAGCTCTAGACCCAAGCCAGGCACTGAGTTCTCCTTTGCCTCTTCCCCAGACTGCACGGAGTAGAATACCACCTAAAGGGTAATAATAACAATGATAATGGAAACCTGGCGGTAAACATTCCCAAACCTCCAACATGACTACAAGGGCACTGGGCTCCTGGGCTTTTGTCTCCAAGAGGAACGAGAAGAAGCACTATGATCTTCGTCTCAGTGGTTTGCTCGTGCAACTCTGGTGGAAGGGAAGCAGCACCACGGTTGCACCTGAGCCATGCCTTTCCTTCAGCCTCACTCCGGGGTGAGTAAGGAACCCAACACCCCGAGCTCTCCTGAGCATCGAATGAAGGGGCTGATTGTCAAGACTCCTTCCAGCCCTGGGACTGGTGTTACTCACGTTCCACTCAAAGCCCCCAGTGGCAATGCCTGAAGCAGCTCCCGTCCCGGCCAGCCCCACAAAGTGGCCACTTCCAATGTTACTGGCAAACAGAGAGGCTCCGATCTGGAAACACAAAAACACATGGTCAGGTGAGGACTTTGTTTAAGCAAGACAGTTGGGGGGGGGGGGGGCAAGGACAGAGGAACGTGTCCGGCAAGCAAAGGACAAAGGCAAACCAATGGTGAAGAATGTTAGATTAGGGGCCAGCACTGTGGCATAGTAGGCTAAGCCTCCAACTGTGGCGCCAGCATCCCTTTGGGTGCTGGTTGGAGTCCCGGCTGCTCCTCTTCTGAGCCAGCTCTCTGCTGTGGCCTGAGAAAGCAGTAGAAGATGGCCCAAGTCCTTGGGCCCCTGCATCCTAGTGGGAAAATCGGAAAAAACTCC